TTTCCACTGGTTGCCTGATCCAGTGTTTCTCCTCACAAATCAAAAACATGGTGTATTAACTCAAAAACCAGAAAAATTGCAAAACTCAGCCTTCCTGTAGGTTGCAATGCTTGTTGTGTCAAATTCCAGACAAATACTCATTTTTTTGGATACCTGGAAGATTTAAAGCTACTGCCTGTTGGAAAAGCCCAGGAGTACTGCTTTCCACCAAGAGAGTTCCAGGAAGTCAATAATACAGCAGAAGAAAATCTTCTTTATCTCCAAAAATGCTGACTTGGGAAGTACTCCTTTAAAGTATAGAAAAAGCAAGCACTACAACTCCCTGTCTACAGACAAACACCAAACTATCAACTTAAAAGATTTTGTAAAGTCCCAAAGAGTTTTCCTTTGGCCTTGTTTTCCTGAGTTTATACACTGGAGTTTTCAGCATCACTTGGAGACTTCAGACCATTTGTTTCCACCAAGTACTCTGTGGCTTGCTCATATTCAAAATGCATTTTGTTAAGAACAAACTTGGGCTCACACACCATCTTCCACACATTTTCTTTTTCACAACATGTCATACATCCAGCCACACTTCGCGTAGTTCAGCAGCAAGAGCACAGGCCTACTTTTATGGTAGATACTAAACACGTTCTGAAATGATTCTCAAGACTGTCAAGTCTGCTGGGACATTTTTGGTACACCAAGGGCATGCTAGTTCCTATCATTCAGCATGTTCGGATAGAGAAGGCACCCTCCCCTTACACTTCACTACTTTCCCTAGTAAACCAGTGGGTTCCTCTGATCTTGTGCCAACACGTAGGACCTGAAATCTGGGCACTGAGCCCAGTTCAAACCGTTGGAGAATATGCTCCCTAAAGCCTTACACACTACCACCAGTATTTTAATGCAGATTTCAGGAAGTACACCTTCCATTACCTCTGGCTTGCTTGCCCACTCCCCAGTGGCTGTGGATTCATAGTTTCCCATGAACTTCCTCCCGCATTGTACTTGCTTTTCAAAAGAAAACAAATCTTCAGACACCTCCCTATCCTTCTTCACCCTTGCCATACTTGCTGCCTGCTCTGAATTCCTTTTCCATGATGTGATTTCCACTCCATGCACCCCACCCTCCTGCCTGTACTGGCTCATTGTGATAGTCCACCGATGACAAGGTTTCTGCCCTTCATTCGGCGGGCAGCCTCTTTTTCACACTGCTGCCTGTTCACATGAGAGGTACCCAGTGATGCAGAGGATGACAGTACCTTACCAGAAAGTAGAAACATCATAGTATCACGTCTTTAGTATTCTAAACATGTTTCTCCATTTTTACAACACGTTTCAGAATCAAAAAAAGTGTGTTTCTTTTTTTTATTTATTTTTTCAGGGTGAAAGTAACCAAGCTTCCAGAATTAAAATGGAAAGAATGTATTAGTTATTGGAAATGTGAAAAAGAAACCTGTGTATCACGAATAAATTCCCCCACTGGAACAAGGCGCTCAGTACAGATTCCCATTTCAATCCAAGGCCTTGATATTTAGCACATTAAAAGCAATTTGGTTTTCTGATGTTACAATACTTACATTTTTATAAGGGCAGTATGAGCTCTGTGACACCCAGACACCTACTTTATGCTGTTTGTTCTACGGACAGGTGAAATGCAGGGGTTATATCAGCAAGATCCTACATCCCTCTCTATCCCCCCGCCCTTGCCCCCCGCTGTATATTTTGATAAGATTTCTTTATTATAGTAATTGAGTACAGGACATATTCATTAGCCTAAGTAGACTGTTCCTTCTCAGCCTGCCCAACAGACAACTATGCCATTTCAGCTGTGTACATATTCTACTTAGGGCAAAACAGGCACGCTTGGTTAGTGTAACAGGTTTTTTTTATTTCAGTTACTTTTTCACATAAAACTTTATGTAAGCTACAAAAATCGTGAAATGCAGAAATGGTATTAAAACTGCAAAATTAAAAGTTTTGATAAAAAAACCGATGTGTCTTTCTCTGCTAACAATGACCATTTAAAATGAACCGTATTTTGATGGATTCACTTAATAAACATACCAGACACTTCTCAAAAATAAATAACATCAGAAAAACCCATATCATCAACAACATGAAGTATTTAGTTATCTTTTTTTCTTTTTTCCTTTAAAGACAGAAATGGAATTTCTAGGCACAGTTTTAGGCATTATAGAGGACACAGAGGCAATAGGTTAGTGTGCACTGCGCTGTACAAAAATACAGTCTGAATAAATTACATTGCTAGCCATAAGATTAAACTTCAGTTACCAGTCAGTTCATTGCATGTTTAATAATATACAGTTACATGCTAATCCATATATATATCATTTATATTTCAAACACATAGGTCTCTCTATATTTGTTTTTAAAATTTACAAAAGCTAAATGAAGTTGTGCAAGAAATCCAGAAGAGGTGCTAGGTACTTATCAGCACCGGACGGTATACTTCAAGCTTAAAAAATACAAATAACTAGCCCTGCTTGCAAGTTTGCTATATATATTTATTTGGAAGAAAAACAATGGATTTGTTGTGAGAGAATCATCCTGCCTGTGAAATAAAGCCAAACAACTGAAATAATGGTGCCATGACACAAGCACAACATACAAAATGATTAATTTATCATACATACAATCAAGACACAGATATGTATCCTTTTTGTGGCTAGGAAAAAAAAAATCAGCATAATGTTGTATTTACTTTTAGTTCAGTGCTGAGAAACAGAATGCTTGCCAAAATCAGCAAGGGTAAGGGGGAGAGGAGAAAGGAAACAGCAGCATGAACTTAAGTTAAAGGTAGGTACCTAAACCTATACACTAGATGCCCAAACACAAACGACTGAGGAGTTTGAGAGGTGGGTCCCAATAGATTGCATTATCTTCAAGGGGAAAAGCGAGTGTTGAGACTGAAAATCAGAACTCTGATTCAAATATTAATGAAGAACTTTGTCTTTCGGCATTCACGTTTGTAAATCTTTTGCTTGAACACCTTTCATATTAACAGCCAGATGACTTTTGGAGTGCATGCCACTAATTTGCATATGCCTTAGGCTTGACAGTTGTTTCCACTCAAACTCTACATAAAGAAAAATGATTTGATCAATTAGTGGGATACGATATGGGGTCAGCACTGTACCTTCTTGTTAGATTAGGTGAAGTGCCACCCAGTGTCAGCACAAAAACACCATCCTCCTAGAAAGGTACAGACATCTCGCAGTGGACTTCTCTATGGTAACCTAAATCCCATGTCAAACTTCAATGTTCTCCATGCTGCAAAATAAAAGTAGAATTACACAGCTGTTCAGAAAGATACAGACTTAACTATATACTGGATATCTGCCTTAAGTCAGTCTCACGAAAAGAAAACAAAGTTGTCTGGTGCCTGTGAAATAAGTGGACCTAATGGTTGCCCACATCCTTTTTGTTCTCCAGGCATTACCATACAATCCCTTTCAAGTCAAGCTATCATTTTGCTCTGCCTAATCTAATTAACCACCACTGGTCCTGAAAAGACTGCTGATATGGAATACTCTGCCAATGTAATAAATATTTAACAGAGAGACCAGAGTTTTATAAACCATCTCTGTACATCAGCAATACTTTCACAACAACCTCCTAAAGGCAGCCCTGTGGTCCCACAGTGATCACAGAACCTCTGCACCCTGCGAAGAGTGGAACAAGCATTAAAACTGTAGATGTGGTCTTAACATCAAATAATTCAGCAGTCTTTTCTGTGGAACCAGCAAAACCATTTGTGTAGACGTCAATGTGCAACCCCAGCATATCTGCTTTTGCAGAGGTCCACATAGAATATATTTAAAATTTCTCCATTAAAAAAAACCATAGGTATTTCTAGAGAATAGAATTGTATAAAAATATGCTCATAATTAATAAAAATATCAAAATAAGCAAATAGTAAACAAAAATAAAAGTGATGCGGACTAAATTCATGTGAAAGTTCTCTATTTTATCTTGGGTTTCATTTCATGAATACAGCCCTCTGGATGTTTTAAGTGGGAAACATACTAAGTAAGGAGTAATCAGATCTACATGATCATCAGCCAGTCCATTATAAACTCAGCTTTTAAAACCAAGAGTACTAATATTTTAACATGGACATGATGGGGTCTCAGCTGTATTCTTGGTGATCAGAAATATTCACAGCCTAACTAGGTTTTTTAAAAAATGGCAGTTTTTTTCCTTGCAACAGCCTTACAAAAGAATTTTTAATAAGTACTAGATTACACATGGAATAGCAAGTAGTTCCTTTGTCCAGTTCTGCCTTAACTTAATGTTAACTTTTTAGCATTTCCCGTAACACAGAGTCTGTACAAGGGCATATACAGAAGACAAACCATTGTATGTTTATTTTGTAACACCAACCAAAACTGAGGGTACCAATCCAAGACTTTCAAGAATGTGCACAAAGTTAGTATTTGAACCATTGCATCACAGCTCATATTACAATTTTAAGAC